TTTACTAATCTCAGTGACATTGTTCTTCAAAGAGTGGGGCAAATTATAAGTATTATCCATCTGTAACACATAGAGAAACTGAGGCAAAAGGAGATCAATTGTCCAGAAAAGACCAAATTTAAGTAAGACACAGTATCTTTTGGTAAACATTTACTAATCACTACATTGTGTTTACTACAGTAGAAATTTAAAGATGAATTTCCCTCTCCACCAAGAGTTCATCTATCAGTACTGACACCCCCCCTAACCTATGGAGATGAGAAACTTCCTCTTGCCAGCTAATCTCACCCTGCAACACACCTCCACCTCTGAGCCCAAGGGCAGCTTATTTAGCCCTCTCTTTCCACAATTCCTAATTTATAGACCCAATTTTAAAATATTATGCAGTTTATCAATGTTTATAATCAATATTATTTTACCAGAGACTGGCAGTCATTAAAAATAGGTAAAAGAAATGTCAATCCAATTCTGAGACCCATGAAGGGAAAACAGGTATCCTTGACGAATTATGTTTTTGGAACGCAAATCAAAATAAAACCTTATATCAACTTCAGGTCCTACCAGATGAGTCGCCATTTTATTTGGCCAAAGAGAAGATATCTTAGGTAACAGGTGAGAATATTCAAGTTCTTTCTTCAAAGCGCTAAAATTAAAACTTTAAATCTTACCCAAGAATTTGTTTTCCAAAATACTAGTTATTCAATAAGAACAAGAGACAATGAATGCTGTACACAAAACGCTTTGAAACACAGAAGTCCTCTAATTTTAAAGAAAAAGATGTACTATCACATGGATTACCACCCTGGGGCACATGTTGCCAAGTGTACCCAAAACAGTATTTTTTACATGGCTTTGAAAGAAACCCATTGTTGAGCACATAATTAAATTTTAATATTACTATGAGTACAAATAAGCCTAGTTTAACCTGAAATACAATTAAATAATTAAAAATCAACATGTGTTAATATTTGTGTCATAGAGTGCCAAGCAGATGCCTTTTCGTCAAAAGGTATTAACTTCATTAACTTCAAACTGTTCAAATGGCTTCTTGGAGGTTTCTCTTATTTTAGCATTTCTCATGAACTCCGGAGAATGGATCTCAAAGTTTCCATTTTGAAAAAACAACAACAAAGCATTTGTTCAAAAAGCCTTGTAAGGATACCATTACACTTGCTATGAGATGATATTAAATTGACTAATTTTAGAACTCATTCACCAAATATGAAAATTTATTTAAAACAATTCATTATGGATTTAAGTAAGTTAAATTATAAGCTCTCCTATTATTAATAAATGAAATTTAACCTGCCATTTTAACTCTGCATATTATAGGCCACTAAACTCTCAATAAAGTCTATTATGATAACCTAATTAGTGACACATCTGCACATGTAACTTCAGTGCAGTGACTCCTCAAGACGATTGTTATCACCACTTGGAAGAAGAAAGTCCTAAGAACTCAGAAATAAAAGAGTTTTAAAAGAAAAATAGCTAGATTGACTAATGCAGCCTTCTATTGGAAGCAAATTCAACTTTTTGATGTAGAGCTCTGGTGAAAAAAATGCCAATGGATCAGAGTATTGTTAGACATGCTGATTCGGTTTCCTGTCTTTGACAGGTCACTTTTGTATGACACTGGAAACTTTCTTGGCTCTGCTGTTTTGACTCAGAGGAGCTTATGCTAACTTTGATTTTGAAAGAGACTATTTGTTTTAAAGTTTGAAGAGATGAAACTACTGATTTTAATGGTTGGAGCACACACTCAGGGTCCACGCAAATAAATATTTCATATGTAGATTTTATTCATGTTCCTGGACAGGGGCAAACACTATACTATTTATGTTTTCATGGGTTTGAGGTTCACATGAAAACGGCCTTTAAAAAAAAACTAACATTAAGTAGTGTGAATTACATAAGGTTTATAAATTATTTAAAGGAGTGAAACAGTATTTGCATAAGTGATTCTTTTTAAAAGTGATTTGCTATTCCAATCTGACAAAAACCTCAAACAAAATAATTTATTGCCTTCTAAACTCTATTTTGATGGAAACATATTTTATGATTTTCTATTAATATGTAATATTAATTTTTCCTCATAAATATTATTTTCACTATAGTTATGGCATTATAAAATAATTTCAAAGATAGTTAAAGCTAGAAATTATAATCATAGCCAGAAGTTTGATAATAAATTTTCATTTCATAAAGCATTTTTATTTTAATAATGCCAAGATATGATATCGATTTTTACATGTTATTAGAAAGAAGCACAAACGTTTGAAAGTTCATATTCACTAACCTTCAACACAAATTTTACAAAAGTGTACCTACTGCATATAAGAACAGATAAAACTTAAACAATCTAGATGTCCACTAACTGGTAATGGATAGACGGTGGTATTCATACAATGGACTATTATACAGTAATAAAAATTAGTAACTGTGGCTCCATTCATCTGCATGGATGAATTTTAAAGTTTTTGAGCAAGAGAAAGTCATGTAAAAATACATGCAGTGTGAGTGTATTTACATAAAATTCAAAAAGAGGAAAAACTAAACAGTGAAAAGCTATAAAAACAAACCAGGGAATGATGAATAGAAAATTTAGGATATAGTTACCTCTGGGGGAGAGAAGTGCACGTGATCAAAGAGAAGACAGTGTGGCTATCAGAGATGTGAGTAATGTTCTACTTTCAAAGCAAGGTGGTGAGTACATGGGTATTTGTTTTATTATTCATTCTTAAACTGTGCATATACTTGACAAAGTGGAGAAAATGAGAGGCAAGAAAATGGTGACTGTACATGTAGACAACTCTTTTTGAAGAGCATTCATCTTGAGTATAAAGAAATAAAAGAGTAGATAGGAAGAAATATGAATGTTTACAGAGATTTTGCTTTGCTCTTGTGCTTTCTAAGATATGGAGAGCATCTGAATGAACAGAACATTTCCATCAAAGGGGAGAGGGTGGAGAAACAACAGGGATGACTAATTAGGCAAGGCACACTTGAAGAGGTTCGCCTCTGAACTGAGGGGGAGCACGACTAATCCAGCCAAAGGGCAGTAAGGAAGGATAGAAACAGGCACAGATTCATACAGTCGCTGTAAACGCAAGTCCATCATATATGGTAGCTTGCTCCTCTTGAATGAGGCAAGGTTATCAGCTGAGAGGGAAAGGACAGAGCTGGCTTTGAGAAGTGAAGGCATGAGTAACAGGCTGGGGCAGTGAGAACAAACGGACTACAGATAAATAAATGCCAGCGTTCTCTTGCGCATTTCACCTTAATTCGTTTCCCTTCCCTCTGCCTAGAATGTATTTCCCCTTCCTTTTCACCTAGAAAATCTTCCCATCCTTCAAGACTCACCCCAGATTCTACGTCCTGGGTGAAACGTTTTCTGACTATTCCATGGCAACCCTTGCCTCTTTTAATCCTTACAACACTTAGCTGTATCACTAATATTTTACTTACTCATCAACTATCTTACAGTAACTCCTTTGTGTCGTACATGATTTTTTTGCCTCCCTAACTACGGTTCTCAAGGACATAAATCAGGTCTTAAAAAAAAACAAAACTTTTGTCCTCCTTTTAGAAATAGTGCATTCTTATACACACAGCAAACATTTAGCTGCATTTTCTAAATATGCCATCTACTTAAACCAGATATTCTTAAAAAAAATAAGATATACAAAAAAATAAGTAAACAAAGTAAGAACACATGAGTAAGTGAACTTTGAGTCCTCCATTATTTTGTCACTGCTTCTGATTTTCAATTTTTGGTTTTAGAGCTTTGTAGAAACAAGCCAGAGATCTAATGTTAACATAAAACTGGTTTGAATTTTTATATTTTTTAAGCAAATTGTTTCTGCTCATTCAGCTAATTTTTTTTTTTTTTACAACTTTTAAGATGCTTCTTCATAGAGGTAGGTCTCTTAGGAAATGAAGCAGAACGTTATCAGCAAAGACAAATTATGTTAGGAATGCCATCTTGTGGCTGAGAGTAGTCCATTACACTATAGATCCTTTTAGTGGCAATCTTTAATTCAGAAATAAAATATCCAGGAAATTCACAAATATAAATCATGGTTAAAATTATAGTTACTACCAAGAAAAGAAAGCTAAATGTGTGTGTATGATTGTGTGTGATTTCAGTTGCCAAAAGAGACAATGTTCACTGTAAAGAGAAATAATAGGCAAATTATATAGGAATGGATTCCAAATAATACGGAAAAACTGCCACCTATAACTATAAGCATACTTCTATTAAGACGATTCAAATACTCTGAATTTTGGGAAAACTTTTCTCATGAAAGAGATAAGTAATTTTACTTCTATATCCACTACTAAGTAGTTCTGTTGATAATTACATCCTAGATTTTAATCATGTGTCTTGATTTTCAAACTGCATCACCCTAACTATAGCTATCCAAAGGGATGTGAAGGACAAAGCACTTATCTAATTTGGATCATGTAGGATACATACCATTAACTGTAGTCCAAAATGTGGAGTTTGAGGAGAGTTAAAAACACTGGCCCTATCTTAAGAGATGGGCTTACTACTTCTTCCATACAAGTTTGCCATTTGAATGATAAATTCTCTTTCTAGTCAATACAAACCTAGTAATGGTTACAGATGTATTACAAAGCGACTGTTTAAATATTTTAATTGCCAGGGTGAATAGCAGACATTTTGGTCCACTTAAAAGTGGGATGAGGGAGTGGAAATTGACATATCCCTAACGAGTGCAAAGCACTGCACAACGGCACAAAGGTCCATGCACTATGCTACCCTTTTGTCACTTCTAGATGATAAGGTTCCAAGCAGCATGTGCAGGTACAATGTTCAGTCACTGAGATTAGGTTATTGAAATTCCAAAAGGTAACAGGCCTACGTATAGATGTATTTACAAAAAAAATGAAAATACTATCGTACTCCAAATCAATGTTTGTGATTTATTATCGCATGCTTATCACCAGAAAAAAATATTTTACTCAAAACATTTTTATATGAATTGATTTTGTATTAGTTTTTCCACATGATTCTTTAGGACGTCCACATCAGCTGCACAGACCTGGTACTCCATCTTCTCTTGCTGCTTCATTCTTTCTAATAAAGCTTCATGAGGTGGAGGTAATGCGTTGTATGAACTCAGTAAATAAAGCTGACTTGATGAAGTATGGTTGATTTCTTTAATCTTTAAAGCCTGCATGATAGCAGGTGCAAACTTTGAGTAATGAGCTGTTGATGAGACAATCACTGGGCAAGTTTTGTCTTGCATTCTGTCCGCAACCACTTTTGCAACCGCAGTGTGTGGATCCAGAATATACCCTGAAGTACTGTAGGTAGAATGAATAGCTGCAAGGCACTCTCTCTCAGAGCACCAGTCGGCTACAAAATCCTGCTGAAGTTTCTCGACTAGCATCTTGTCTATCTGGAAGTGCTGCTGCTCTTCTAGTTGATTAAATAATTTTGTCATTAACCCTCCATCTTTATTAGCCATCATGTGTAAATGTCGTTCCAGGTTTGAAGCTTTAAGAATATCTATTGATGGTGAAAAGGTAGGAGTTATTTTTCTTTCCCTCAGATCATAATGTCCTGTTTTTATAAAATCAGTCAGAACATGGTTCTGATTAGAGGCACAAATAAATTTTCGAATAGGGATTCCCATCATTTTGGCATACACTGCTGCTAAAATGTTACCAAAGTTTCCTGTGGGAATACAGACATCCACTGGGCTTCCAAAAGAAATAAATCCTTGGCTAACAAGATCAAGATATGCAGAAGCATGATAAACTACTTGGGGAAGCAGTCGGCCCCAGTTGATGGAATTAGCTGAACTTAAGATAGTTCCATGTTCCATAATAAGAAAGCCAGTAAAGTCAGAATCTTTAAAAATTCTTTTTATAGCTGTCTGGCAAAAATCAAAATCTGACTTGACACCCACTGCCCACCCATTTTCTTTCTGGCTGCCAATTATTTGTGCTTTTTGAAAATCACTTACTCCATTTTCAGGGAAAAATGTGGCCACGGCTATTCTTTGCTTGTGATTCTTATTAATACGACTAAAACCATTTAAGACTGCGCTGCCCGTGTCTCCTGACGTAGCTACAAGTATCATATAATTGCAGCTTGGTGGAATACAGTGTGCAAACAGATGAGGCAGAAGCTGTAAAGACAAATCTTTAAATGATCCTGTTGGTCCATGGAACAGCTCCAGGATGAACTGGTTGCCTGAAAGGTGCCTGACAGGGGCGATTTTTGAGCAGGCAAAGTTTTCCCCATAAGCAGTTTCAATCATTTCTCCCAATCTGGCAGCAGGTATGTCAGCAGGATGTATACATTTTTCCAATAGTATTTGTGCTCTTTCTATGTAGGTTGCTCCTACTAGGCTTTTCCACTCCCTACGGTTTAATTTTGGAAACTCCTTCTCAGGAACGAAGAGTCCACCATCAGAAGCTAACCCCTCAATCACTGCTTCACTAAAGAATTTTGTTGAGACCTTCTGCTCGCAGTCTTTAGGCCAATTGTGTCTTGTTGAAATGAACGTTTCTGAGTCCACATCTTGGTATCTTTTAACTGCATTAAGCACTTTGTCAGCTACCTCCTCTGGGGAAGCCCCACTTTCACAAAAAACACGGGTATCGTACCATTTCTTATAATACTGTCTTCTAAATTTAAGTAAGTCTTTCATAGATGTGCCAGCATTCTGACCTACAATCCTATCTACTTTCATGAATTTTAAACGACTGACTAGATCTATTAGAGGTACGTCCAGGTATACAATTATGCCATTTTTCTTCAGATGCCACATGCTAGCATCATGCATTGGATTGGACCCAGTAAGGGAAATCACACTTCCAGATGCAGAGAAGTTTAACACAGCTTTTCCTTCCTCTTCTAAAAATTGCTCATTACCAACATCCTGTAATTTTTCAGACACACTCATATTCCACGTTTTTTCAAGGATATCATCATCCACATCTATGACACAACAACCTAGTTTTTGACCTATTATTCTGCCTACTGTTGTTTTCCCAGCACCAGGAGGTCCCATCAGGATAATATTTTTGTCTCCGACAAGAGAGTGGGTTGAGTGCCATGACTTCCTGAATTCTGCAAGTGCAAAGGTTCTTGAAAGAAACAGCTGCACATGTTTATCCGTTCTAACATGTACACTAGGAAAACATTTCTGGGCTATTTGTTTCAGATGCGGACACCGGTTAAAGTGGAGCATTCTCTTTTCACTTTTCTGCCCAAGTCAACCTAAAAACTGGCTTTAGCCCTTTTCAAAACATAAGAACAAAAAAGACATTTGGTTACTAATTTCAACGGACTTAAAGTCCCAACAGGACTGAAAATAACCATGTCCACTGTACATAAACTGTTTAGAAATCTTTCAAATGTATGGGACATTTAAAAAGCACTTAAACCCAAATTCTCAAATATTACAGATATCCTCTTAATAATCTTTTCGATCTCAAGACTGAATCATCAAAACTTTAGAAATTTGTAACTATAAGCAACACTTTATTCAGAAAATGCCTTATCATAGAGGCTTTAAAACACACACACAAACACACACACACACACACACACACACAAAATCAGAGTAGTAGTTCTTTTCCTGTAATGAAAATTGTTTCTTGGTTTATAACCCATATAAACAAGGATTATTTGGAATGCTATTTACTTGCAATTTGCAAAAGCTGAATATTCTTCATATTTCTCTTTAGTCGTATGAACATGCAGACAGACTTATAAGTTTCTTATAAAACTCACAACAGGAAAGCAGGCTAAAATATTTGCTTACAAAATACTTAAATAACTTCCCAAATGATAGGGCAAAGGTATGACATTTTTTTGTCTTATGTGTCTTTTATAGGCATATTGTAAAAGATCATTCTTACATACTTTTCATATTGAAGACTTTTAAAAAGCTAAAATGAAAGGTATAATATTATGCAAACAGTTAAGAAAAAATTGATAATTAACAGCAAAGTCAAAGGCTATGTATCTATAACCTTATCTGCATGAAACTGTCACTTTTGTTTCTGTCCTCTAAACATGATCAGTGGAGAGACTTAACTCAAATTCCAGACTCTACAGTGATAGCAAAAAAAAAAAAAAAAAAAAAAAAAAAAAAAAAAAAAAAAAAAAGCCTCAGGAATGCTTCCAGTGATGAGAGAAAATAATTATTCTGGCATGCAGAGCAGCTCTGCAATTCCCCACGCTAGTCAGATCCCTGTCTTTGGAAATATACTCACCATTAAAACATGAATGTAAGCCATACAAGTCAAATTCTTAGTCGTGTGCAAAATGCAATTTAGGAACTGCTGCAATGTTCATGTAAATTCACTACAGGAGTTCTACATACATGTAGTGGGGCTTTTCACACGTTCCACAACTAAGCCATATTAAATATTAGGTGGTATGTTTAAATATGTTCTGAAAACTTTCAATCATTTACTACTCTGATTATCTGTAATACTGTGTTCTGTAATTAAACATTTAAACCACTTTAAACTAACACCGAATTTAACTTACAAGTTAAATTAGAACTGTCAAGAGAAGGATTACATTTCCTTATTTGGCTTTTCAGCTTGTATGTGCTGACTTGTAATTTCCACTGACTTGTAAATATATGACACACAGGAACCAATCTTAGATGAAGAGTTTGTTGATGCTGAGGCAAAGTCAATCTTAGCAAAAAAACGGAGTCTATAATAGAAAAATTTTCAAGTTAATCATCACTGCATATAATATTATAAAATTCCACACATAGACTGGTCTATTATTAAAATATCTACCTAAAATTTTTAAAGTATAGGCAAATAATCAATTGACCCCTTTCCTGTTTCCCCAAATCTATTATTAAAAGATTAAGATACTTTTTTCAATATCTGTGTCTTACAAAAGAAATTTTATTAAACTGAAGGATTTTTTTCCACCAAGCAATATGAAAGAGTAATATTACCAAATAATAACAAATGTACAATCTTTCACAATGACACCTAAAATTTTCATTTCTTAACTGGATGTTTAGTGATGACAGAAAAATTTAAATCTGTGGCCTAAAGCTATAAAATGAGTGTTTGAATTTCTCTTGTCGGTTGTTTTATCCATCTGAATCACTACATGATTTGTACGTAATGATAACCTACAGTAAAAAGTGCAAATACAGTGTCGGCCACATACAGGTACCTCCTGGCTACTTAACTGAGCTTATAATAAATTCAAAGCACATATCACAGTGGCTGGCACGTAAGAATATTCTCATATATGGTAATATTAATTACTGCCATGCAGAAACAGTGGACCAAAATCATTTCATTTGAATCAGAATACCTAGACTCAAGGCTAAGTATATTTTTTTACGGTCTGGTTAGTTTATAAACCTTCAGAGAAAATAATGGTACTTATCCATGAATCAAGAACTGTTTTGCTATGCAGTCTAATTCTCTTCCTGTAGTAAACCAAGGACCAGAGAACGGTACACTTGAGCCATTTCAGCAATCTCTTTTATTGAACTGTATTCTAGTAAAGTACTTTAACACTAGTTATTTTTCCTGGAGGAGAGAACACTAGGTATTTTGAAGGCACTTTATAAAATAATCTGATTAACCTCCTATTCAGGAGGCTTTGGCTTATAACATCACAGTGTGTGTTCTTTTTTTTACTTCCCAATGTGTAATTTTCTGATGTCCGTATTAGCAATCATTCTAATATTACCTGAGTAGCTGGTTTGTTTTTATGAACATCAAATCTTTTAACTGATCTTCTCCACTTTGTGTTGGTTACTACAATGCTCACCATCAACTATTAAAAGTAGAAGACTGTAACACAAACATTATGCATCATTCACCTTATCTTTTGTAACCTGAGTTTCCCTTTACTTTATACGAATTAAAAACAGAAAATTATGACAGTTCAATTTAATTCTGTATCAGTATTATTTACCAATAAAAAGCTTCCTGAGAAATAGCAGAAGGGAGTTGTTAAGGGCTATAATATGTAAACAAATAGTATTACTGTTAAAGAAAAATAAAGAAGATGAATTCTATTTTAAGTAACATACTGAATTTTGTTTCAAAACATTTTAGCCTCAAATTAATTTTAGGGCTTCAACATCCATTGTAAGCAAACCAAAAGACAAGATGAATAATACCCACACTATGTAACTTCCATCTGGAAATTAGGTTTACTTAAGAGTAATATAGTCAATTCTTGTTATTCATGGTAGTTATATTCTATAAAGTCACCGTGAGTACTAAATTAGTGAATATTGAATATTCTCATTGCTCCTAGGGGAAATACAGGGTTAGGTTCCTGTGAGCCTCTAGTCACCTTTTTGCCAACTGATCAATATATAACCTTGTTTTATGTCTCTGTTTAGACATTTTATATATTTTTTGACATTTTATATATTTTTTATATTTTTCTTTTCTTTTTTTTTTTTAATTTTTTTTTCAACGTTTTTTATTTATTTTTGGGACAGAGAGAGACAGAGCATGAACGGGGGAGGGGCAGAGAGAGAGGGAGACACAGAATCGGAAACAGGCTCCAGGCTCCGAGCCATCAGCCCAGAGCCCGACGCGGGGCTCGAACTCACGAACCGCGAGATCGTGACCTGGCTGAAGTCGGACGCTTAACCGACTGCGCCACCCAGGCGCCCCTATTTTTTATATTTTTAATGTGAAATTTGTACATATATATGCTTAATTCAATACCATTGAACAGCCAATAGTACTCTAACTTATGCCTGAATGAAGCCTATCTAACGCACATTTTATCTGTAGGTGCATCATAGCCTTATTGCCTTAGGAACACTAAGCACACTTCAGCCCTCTGGCGGCCATTGTAAACATCAAAATCACTAACTAGAGGCACAGAAATGTGAAAAATGTGGCACTAAATAGAATGGGAGAAGGACACTTGTTGGCCGTATTTGAGCTGAAACCAGAAGGCAGACAGCATCACCTTGCTTGACCTCAGCTTGGAGCACGCGCATCAGGAGACTCCTATCTTTCGCCACAGTGCGTGTGTCCACGAACAAATGCACAGGTTCTGCAGGGAATTACCTTGGGGTTATAAATAAATTCTAGCGAGCAGAATTCACAAACGTCGAACCTGTGAAAAGTGAGGATCAACTGCATATCATCCTCCTTTATGACTCAAAGCCATGTTGTGACACTGAAAAGGCAATTTTCCTTTAGCCACAAAACAATTTCCAATTAAATGGAAGTCAACTACAAGAGTCAGAAAACAAAAGCGGTATTTAAACCAAATCACTTGGCTATAAAGTACTCAGGTTTTACTATCCCAATATCCTGAAGTATTTTTTGCAGAGCCACGTTCCTCATGAAAATATTTTAGTCCTACTAACTCCTCAGAGGATGGAAGACCAGCACATTATACAGTAATACTTTTTAAGTAGGTTTTCCTACTAATCACTTAGAGTGGGGCTTTTTGATCCACTAATTCCATTGGCTACTTTCTAGACATAATAGACACCTGCCATTCAAACAGACAAATGAAAAGGCAGTAATGTGTCAGTGTCACAGCAAGAACTTTAAAATACAAAAACACAATGTCCACATGGACATAATGATTCACGTACTCTTTGATCTCAAGACACAAAATTTAACAATTTTACTGTGGCAAGCTGATCAAAACTGAATAAAGAATTCAAGGGAAAAAAAGTAAAGAAATCACTTTTTAAATCACTTTCAAATTATTTCCCATAAATGCTAATAAGCTTACATTTTTTAAACCAAAAACCATATTAATTTTCAGCAACCTATGTACAGTGAAGTTTTCCTAAGGTCACACTAGATGACTGCTCATCAATTAAAATCATACCCATTATCAATTTTTACTTCCAGAATGGTTGAGAAGAATTTTTCAATTCCATTATAAAATTACCTAGTTTCCAATTCCTCTGGGAAATCATCAAAATCCTATTTAGTCAGGATGATTTAGCATTTCTCACTCATTTAAAACATAGTATTCCAAAATAAAACATAAGACACAGCACTTTAAAAATTATTTTATGATGAGAACTGGCTATAGTTCAATAAACTTCTGAAAATATTCATGTCTTGAGTATGCTTGTCACCCTATATTAATGCAATCTAAATTTTTCAGAAGAATGACTAATCCAGTCCATTGTCTTAAGAAGTAAGACATCCTGATTTTTTAAAATTCTTAAAAATGACTGCATTTTTACAGCAATAAATCGTTTCCCAATACATAATTTAAAAAATGCAAATATACTGAGACATAAACTAATCACGGGGGTAAAATTCCGCTCTGGAACACTGAGCAAAAATCTTCTCATAACAAGCCTTTGTGTCAGTCAGCTCCTAACTTACCTAGAAATAGCAAGGTGGAAAGGGTGGAAGGAACATATACTCCGGTGCCATGTTGTAATCACAGGGCTCTAATCAAAAGTAGAATTTACAAGTTCAACCCTCATCCTTGCCCCTATTTAGTATCAAAGCTGATTAAGCCTTTCCTGTGGCTACTCTTTTGCTGTTGGATATCCTTTTTTTTTTTTTTTTTCAATGTTTATTTATTTTTGGGACAGAGAGAGACAGAGTATGAACGGGGGAGGGGCAGAGAGAGAGGGAGACACAGAATCGGAAACAGGCTCCAGGCTCTGAGCCATCAGCCCAGAGCCCGACGCGGGGCTCGAACTCACGGACCGCGAGATCGTGACCTGGCTGAAGTCGGACGCTCAACCGACTGCGCCACCCAGGCGCCCCGTTGGATATCCTCTTAATGGTCGTATTTAATTCAAGACTTCCTAAGTATCCTTTTAAACTCTGTAACTTAGAAATATTACAAAGAGTATCTCTTACACAGGGTTTATTTTCCTCCTCCTTGTCTTATTTATATTCCCACCTATGCCCATTTTATTCATCTAAGTAAATTAGATTAATCTTTAGCAAAAAAACTCAAATTTGTATGTACAAGCATTTATAGCAGGGGTCTGTGCAAACCACAACCCACAGGCCAAATCTGTGCAAAACCTGGATAATCACCCTTTTTGTAAATTAAGTTTTATGGGAACACAACTTTGCTTATTTATTTGTTCACCTGTTTATTATTGTTTGGCTGTTTTTGAGCTACAACAGTGGAGTTGAGCAGTTTTGACCAAAACCATTCAGCATGCAAAGGCCTAAAATATTACATAGCCCTTTATGTTAAAGATTCATGACCTCTGACAATATATCAATACTAATTCCTGGCGGGCATATTGGACACAGATATTTTCTTTAACAGTATTGCTTTTTTATGTTTTTTTTTTTGAGGGAATTATAAAAAAATAGAAATATATTCTTTGTAAATATGTTTTCAAAAGGCAAGCAGAATTATAGACCAAGGATCTAAGGGAAAAAAGTTCCTTTCTAAATGATTTAACAATTTCATCAAGACTGTAAACTAAATATACTATAGTGAGATCATAAATTGTTTGGTATTTTTAAAACCACAATAAATACATTGTCATCAGTGAAATTACTGTATTTGGTAACACCAAAGAGTCAGGACTGTAGCTAAGGTCGGTTGGTACTAACTGGAGGTAACAGGCTTTACACTTACTGGCTCTTTTAGGAACTGAATAACAAAAAACATCCCAAAGTGTTTCTTCATTAGAATATTTATAAGCTTTAGGCCAATGACCATCCATTGGCTAATGGTGTTATCATTAGGAGTCTCTTTATACATGCTAAGCAAAAAGAACGCCCCCCCCCCAAAAAAAACATGAAAGGAAAAGGACAAAGTGGTATATAGACACAGAAAAAAAAGTTTTAAAAAGTAGAAAATCTGATGTGAACAGGAGCATCATTTCCAACGTGTCACCCATCTGAAATAAAATGTTAAACACACGGGATAAAGATAAAAATCTGATTAACTGGATAAGAAAAAACTAAATGTATTCTTAGCTAATGAAATTCACTAAAAGTCCCAAATGATCAGCACCTACATATTCTGCATAGCCTTTTAAGTACGAATTAAAAGGTTAATGAAGCAATCGTGCTGTTTTTCTCTCTCCACCGAGCACCCTGGCAGTGAGCCGACCCATACTGGTGTTGTCTTTTATCTCTGACCGTCTTTATTCCCTGTGGGCAGTGGCCTCTGTAAGTTTGGTTCAAACCAAATAACTTATTTCCCAAACCTTGCCAAAATGCCTTTTAGAGACTCGGGGTGGCAAAGGCTTCTATATGAATTTCTTTCAGCAATCTTACGTGAATAGGCTTATGGAAGACCAGGCGGCTCAAAACGGAATAAAACCTTTTCTGAGAAGACAATATCAAAAAAGGGACAGCAACCAATCAAACAAACAAAATAAGCAAAAATTCAAGGGCCCCTTTAAAAAAGCTTCTCCTTCTGGTTTAGGCTGCTCTTTTTAAAAACAGCCAGTCCACACGTCGGTGGAGTAATACCTAAGAGGAGGGACCCGACTAAGAGGTAAACGGGCGGAGCAGAGAAGCAGCGAGGCGCAGGAGAAAGAGGGAGGACGCAGAGGACCGCAGCGCGACAGGTGGATGGGCGTAAGGCGGGACGTGGGCGCGCACTCCCGCAGGTGGCGAGCAGGGCAGCCGAGCGAGCTCCGGGCAGCCCAGGCAGAAGCAGCGGGGAAAATGCGCGCAGACACAGTTGAGATCACAACGGAGTAGCGGAAAGGGGAAGAAACGAAAAGGGGAAAGGCATGCGATGGGAACGGACCGGCTTCTACAGTTTCCCTTTCTTTCTCCTCAAATCACTCACCAAGAAAATCACACTGAGAAGACTGGGGGGAAAGGAAAGAAAATGGGAAGGAGCGTCCAGGAGCCGCCACTGCCGCCTCGGGACGGACTCCCACACCTCGGGGCCTCTCCCCGGCTCGCCCACGGCCCAGGCCCGAGGCCCTCGCTAGGCCTGATCCGCCTCCAGCCCCGCGCTGCGGTCTCTGCGCCTGCGTCAGGCAGGGAGGGCCCCCGCGCCGGCGCGCCACACCCACGCCCCGAGCAACCTCTCACGCCGAACACGTGACGAGCAGTCCGCGCTCCACCTATGTGAGTCCTCCCTGCTCCTCAGGCTCCTCCCCACCCCGTCCAGCTCTCGGCAAAGGCCCTACGTCAGCCTGGCCTCAGCGGCTCGCCCCACCGCCGCCGAGATTGGCGCCTGCGCACAAGAGCCTTATTGTGTGACGCCTGCGCAGGAGCTACGCTTCCCTATGGTCTGCAGTGGCGTGTGTCTTCCTCTCCAAATATGCAGACAGAAACGAGCAGTGTGTTTAAGTAAGGGGACGCCATTCAACTCATTATTCCCAAAGGCACATATAAACAGTGGTTTCCATATTGAACTTCTCAAGCAGAAGAACTGCAGAGGGAAGAAAAATCTAGTTTACAAGGCTGCCTTCTACTTCCACGTAGCCTAGCAACTGTTTCCCAGGCAACCACGCCGTCAACAACGCGAAGCAACCCCTAGAGAATTAGAAGGGCTATTTTATTTTCTTCCCAAGAGAGGACTGCTAACAGGTCAAAGGGGAATTAGGTGAAAGAGAGAAACCTTAGTTCCGTGAGAAGTCAAGAGTAGGAAAGGAAACGGGAATCAGTGAAGAAAGGGACAGACATACTGGTATAGTGAGAAAAAAGTTGACCATATTTAAGGAGTCATTTTGGTGGCCATGGATACAACTTGCTTTTCTGAGAGCATTTATAACCTCATACCCAGTGACCGGAAGGAGCCTCCCCAGCCTCCTAGGTATGTGGGTAAACAAAAGATTATCACTTGAAACAAGAATAAAGAATAACGATGCCATTTCAAGATTAACTAAGCAACATACGACTTTTAAAAAGAAATTACATATATTTTTGTCTTAATGAAGTAGACTTGGATGCCAGCTTTTTAAGGAAGTGGCTGCAAAACCTGGGTATTTAACATCTATCTCACAATTCACGGAGAGGACGGTCCAGTGCTGTGAGAGGGCCATTTTATTATGTTAGCCACCTGTTAATATAGTATGTAATTGTTTTGTAATTTAATTGTTCGTACATGATGTGGCATACAAAATAGCGTGAAATTTCTTGTTACTGAAAAAAGAAAATCACAGTTTTATTGTCCTGTGTTAGGATACTTCCTACTTGGTTTCAGGGGTTCGTTGTTTTATTTCTGACTACACTACTGCTCCCTCTCTAAAGGGATAGTAGTTATTTCTGAGATTGTTGTCAAATATACATTCCTGTTTGTTTCTGAGGCTCAGTTTTTTGACTGGTAAGACAAAATAGATTCGTTTCTAAAGTCTTTTTCAGATCTGATAGTTGGATAGAAAGAAGAATAGATGGGTAGAGACCCAAAAATATATAATTGAGTTAAAAATTTTACATGGGTGTTAGGACCCCTTAAGTTCCCCCACATTTCAAAAAGGTAACCCTGAAGTAAATATCTCAGTTAGTCTCCTGTGTATAAACTTAGAACTTATGTAAACCTATGGAGAGAAAAGAAGGTAACTAGTGCAGAAGATCTTATTCCTCCTAGAATTCGAAATATTTGCTGTTCTTTACCTTTCTTCTTTTCCTGATGCACGTCAAAACCACATTGAAAGTGCGATGGGCTTAAAAAAAAAAAGACTCTGCAACTAACTGGTTTGGGAATCATGAATAAATTTTCATTTATTTTCTTATCTATAAGACAAACTAAATGATCCGGATCATCTTTAAGGTTCCTTTCAGATCTAATGGTCAATTATTTATACTAGTAATTCCTTGGGGTATATAACATCAACAAGTGGGCAAACCCTTCCATTGTAAGCCCAAGAATCTGGTTTCAATAAGAGCAGTACCTATATTATTTTTCATTAGTTTCTCAGAATCTAGCAGAGAATGGAAAGAGGAATGTAAAGTAAGATGTGATGGACTTGTAGAATTTATGACGAATGTTCAAATTAACTATTGCTGAATGAACTTTTGGTCAAAAAATCCGGTATGTTGTACAAGATAAAGTTCCTCTTCTCTGAAACCCACTGGTAGGCTGTATTTTCTAGAGAGTACTGAACTTGAAAGTTAAGATATTTTATTAGATAGGTGTTCTGTTCATTGATAAATTAAAAAGAGGCATCTTTACTGCATATAAGTAATTTTTTTCAAGAAATTTTATAGGAACAGTCTAGTCTGTTCATTTGACAAGCAATAACTGAGCCCCTATTTATGTGTATAACATTGCCTTTGGAGAATGTTCTTGGGAAATGTTGGAAGTGATAGCACAAACTCCTTGGTTGACTCTGAAGGAATAAGTAAGAAAAAGGAACTTAGGGTGAAGGGAATAGAAGGCATCAATTGTGGTGCCAGAGAACTCTCTGTTAGGGTGAGACTGTCCACAACATCCTACACTGTCTGCAACAACCTGGGGAGGTTTTACTTTGATAAAGGTGCCATACAGGCAAACCACTAATATGTAAAAACAGAGCATAATAACACATTTAACAAATTCCTCCTCACCACACTGACACTAACTTGCCCTGACCCAATCCCCCTGTTAGTGGTGTTACGGAACCAGACTGGAACACTGGCGGAAAAACCAAGCGGCATTCAGAGATCTTGGTGGATCGGAGATTTATTTAACACCGGTGGGCTCAGGGGAGACCATTTCTCCAAAGATCTGAGCCCTGAATGCAAGGAGGAAGCGTAATTTATAGTTGTCTGCCTCTGCATTGGGGGGGGGGGGGGGGGGGGAGGGGGGTTGAGCACATGGCAAACAGGGCAAGAAGAACCTGGAAGAGGGGTTTCTAAGCCAGAGACCAGAGCTTGTTTTAGTCCTCGCGGCCATCTTATGGTGTAAAACTTTATTCATTTTCCCAACAGTGGTAAGAATTAATCATAAGAAGGAAACATAGGGGCACCTGGGTGGCTCAGTTAGTGAAGCCTCTGACTCCTGATTTTGGCTCAGGTCATCATCTCACGGTTTTGTGTGTTCCAGCCCTGCGCTGGGCTCTGCACACTGACCATGAGGAGCCTGCTTGGGATTCTCCCTCTCTCCCTTTCTCTCTGCCCCTCCCCGTCTTGTGCTCTTTTTGTCTCTTTCTCGAAGGAAGGAAGGAAAGGCAGGGAGGCAGGAAGGAAGGGAAGGAAGGAAGGAAGGAAGGAAGGAAGGAAGGAAGGAAGGAAGGAA